ACCATAGTGATGCTAAATGTTAACAAGAGGGGAAACTGAGGGGCACCTGGGGGGCTCAGTTGGCTAAGCGACTGCCTTTGGCTCAGATCATGATCCCAGGGTCCTGGGATCAAGCCCCACATCAGGCTCCTTGCTCGGCGGGGAGCCTGCTTCTGCCTCTCCCTCTATCTGCTACTCTACCTGCTTATGCTCTCTATGTCAAATAAATAAGTAAATAAATTCTGGAAAAAAAAAAAGAGGGGAAACTGAGTGCTGAATATATGGGAATTTGCTGTACCATCTTTGTCATTTTTCTGTAATTACAAAATTGTTCTAAAAATAAAGTTCATTTAAAATGCATACTAATAAATGTCTTGAAAATATTTTAAATTATCACATAATAACCTACAGAGTTTATTAAATTCTTTAAGCATTTCCCTATTGTTGAATATTTGAGCCATTTCCAATTTTTCCCTGTTAAAAGTAACAGAGTGATGAACAATTATCTACATGGAGATTTTGGTTCATACCTTTGATTATGTCCAGCAAAGATTCCTAGAAGTTCATTCTATGTTTTTAAAAAAAGTCAAGATGACATATTTACCTAATTGCAATAATAACCAAAAGTATTGGAAGTCCCATTAGATTGTGCAGCTTCTCTGAAGTAAGTTCCATTCCTCTCAACGGTGAAAAAAAATCCAGGATTTGTATTCAACTCCCAGCCTTATCCACCGATTCTTGCATTCATTCAATAAACACTTGAGTAGCTGCTATATTCCAGGCAAATGTACTATTAGGAATGACATTTAACCACCTTAAGACCTTATTATTTTAGAAATAATAAAAAAACACCTAATTCACAGAATTCTTAATTTGACAGCTAAAGATCATTTCCTGATCTTTGCAGTGAGATAGTATAGGAATAGTAAGTGGTAGGCGCTTTTCAACTAATTGTTTGCAACATTTGAATCTCCAGGCCACAGTGTGATTCTGTAGCTAAAAAAGATTCCTCCAACATTAGCATTTGGTGATATTTTTAAAAATACTTACTTAAGAACTTAAAATTTTTACTCTATAATAAATGATTTCCTGTAGTATTTGTCTATCTCCTTTTAACTTCACTGCCCTCTGGTGCCACCTAATGCCCATCCCTCTGGCACATTTGTGTTTCTTCATCCTCCCGTAAATGTTATTTTAAGCCTGGGTGTAACCACACCAGCAAAATTTCCCTTGATTGTCTTCAGAATGTCCATGTATCACCAAACTCTTCAAAACCATTGCCATTGTTTCCATGACATCTAATTGTTTCTTCCAAAAACTTAGAGATCACTTCAAGAAATTCAACAATGGTGTCTGTTAGAATGAGTTTCTTAGAAACATTCTCTGTGATGAAGAGCTGCATGCAGATGGTTTTTTGGGGTGAAGGCAGTGCCCCTTAAGATGCCCCTGTAAAGACGTGAGGGGGGAAGGTTGGGAGGGAGAAGGTGACCCACAGTGTGGTTTCACCGGAGCTGAAATAGATCCCACTGGGAGCATTGGAGCCTGGACTGCAGAGATGCCCCAAATGGAGACAGGAGGGCTGGGCCTTTAACCTCTCATCAAGCAGTCATTGGCTCTGAGCATCCTCTTGGAGGGGGCCAACCTTGGGAGAGGCAGTTTCCCACCGTCTAGGGCAATGCCCAGTGAGGGACACAGCTGTGAAGCCACACAACCTACAGCCCCAGAGGTGGGAGGAAGGGCACGTCACCAGAGGAGGGGATATGGCTGGAGCACTGAAGCTTCCACGATGGCTCTGCTCTCACTAAGTCTTTGCCTGCTCATTTACTCTTGCCAGTAGGTCTTAAGAGGATCAAGCTCTTGAAAATGAAGTCTACAATCCACAGACACTTTTTTTAATCAAGGAGACTTCTGAGAGCTTGTAGTTCGTTCCAGTTGTGAAACGGTGAAGCAGAGCGGGGCAGCCCTGCATGCTACTCCTAGCACAGTGCCTAGGTAGGCACTCCGAAAATACCTTCAGAGGATACCAAAAGCACCACCATTCTTAGGCATTACACCCGCTTTTAGGAAGGAAAGGAAGTGACACACAAAAATAAAAATATAAATAATATAAAAGGACCAACAATGAGATGAAGATGCCTAAATCAGTTCTCAGCAAAAAACCCGAGGGAGGACTATGTGCAGAGCTGTGAGCACAGAAAGATTTGGAATCACATTCTAAATCTGTATTTGAGAAACTGATGATTTTTGTCTATGTAACCTTGAAAAATAAAATCCCTCTAGTAGTTGTAGCAATGTGGGATATTCTCAGGAGTATAAGAGATAGCCTAACTCAAAAACGTATGGCTTTGTGAACAAAAGTTTGCATTTAACTTTCTTATGTTGGGTTCATCTATTTGTCTGTTTGTTTTTTCCAGACTTTATGTAATTGTTCTGAGTCTGACAATTTATAACATGGTAAAACTAAATCCTTTCTTTAAAAACAGAACTTTGGACTTATGCAATGTTTTATTTGAAAAAGTTCACTGTTGCAATAATATTAAGAAATTGATAAAGATGTGGTAAATATTTTTTTTAAAAGTTGCAGCTAAACAGCTCCTTGAGATATTCTTTTAATAAATGACCAAAGCTATTCAATAAATATCAGAAAACTAAAAGATAAAGTTCATTTATGTCATACCATATCATTTATCCTAGTTATTCTCCTAATACTTTAAAAATTAAAAGTTTTTCTTGGGGCGCCTGGGTGGCTCAGTCAGTTAAGCATCTACCTTCAGCTCAGGTCATGATCCCAAGTCCGGGGATCGAGTCCCACATCAGGCTCCCTGCTCAGTGGGGAGTCTGCTTCTCCCTCTGCCCTTCACCCTGCTTGTGCTCTCTCTTGCTTGCTCTCTCTCTCAAATAAATAAATAAAATCTTTAAAAAAAATAAAAGTTAGAAGTTTTTCTTCAATTAATAGAAAAATTATTTACTAATTATTCAATTTGATTTCACATTTGTGGGGTATCTACTATGTGCAAGGCATATATTCAGCAAAGGGAGTAACTAAAAGTGGCCCCTTCGGAGGAGACACTCCACTTGGGCTGTGGTGAAGAAACATTTTCAAGTGTAGGAAGGCCTCATTACAAAACTATTATCTGTAAAGTGCAGGCAGCCCCTGGGTTTCCTGAACTGGTGAGGTTCCAGAAAGCTATTTACTGACTTCATCGGCCCAGGGAAGCAATGTTACAAATGGGGCTGGTTTCCAGATGAGACCTCCTAATACAGTCCTAGCAGCTCCAGCCCAAGTTCTGGGGGCAAGAAATTATAAGGGACGGGAGGAGAACACGGTAGGTTGCTCACTCCTTTGCCAGATCCAGTCATTCTGCAGCAAAGCTCGGGATCAAAGAAAGTCTTCAGACAGCATTCTCCCTTCCCGCACACCTCCATTCAAAGCTTTACTATTTTCCAGCCTCTTTGCACACCTGCTGACTACTAAGTTCTGCAGCAGCCCCTCAGGCCCAGCTCACCGCCCCAAATTCGACAGATCAAGCTAATTCATCCCACTCCCGCCAACTTCACCCACCTCCATCAAAATTTAGTTTTCTATCCAGGAATGAGGAGGAAAGAATCTAAGTGAATTAATTCATGCTAAAGTAGGAATGATCAGTCCTTAAGGCTCCAGAAGACAAGGGTGTAACTTTTAAAGGAAATTAATACCTGTTAAGTCAAATGTTGGAGAATAACAGCCTATTAACAGTGATGGGGGGGGGCAGGCAGCATAGGAGAATAATGAATATGTATTGAGCATTTACCACGTGGCAGGAACTCACTCTAAAGAACACCATCGGGTAAGTGCGTTATTCTCCCAGTTTTACAGAAGAGAAATGTGGGGTTTGGAGGGGCTAGCACCTTAGTGAGCTCCGGAAGACACTCTGCCCAGTCCTCTCTCTGCCATGGTGAAGTCAACCAGTAGGGTCTTCACCCCAGGGGTGGACAGCTTGCCTCAGCCGTTCTTCCTTTGCACGATTCCTTCTCTTCCTTTTTACTGAAACTAGAGATCCTCGAAAGGCAAATTTTTTCCAGAGTGTGACAGTCAGGACAATAGAGAAACTAAGGCAGTGATGGATGAATACTACTAAAGCATATCTGTATAAATGAAACTGCTTCTAAGTGGGATGTAAATCAGGACTTGCTCGTATACTAGACTCTGTAAAAGGAGAAGACAGTATTTTTTTTTAAAGATTTTATTTATTTATTTGACAGAGAGAGAGATAGCGAGAGCAGGAACACAAGCAGGGGGAGTGGGAGAGGGAGAAGAAGGCTTCCTTCCGAGCAGGGAGCCCGATGTGGGACTCGATCCCAGGACCCTGGGATCATGACCTGAGCCGAAGGCAGACGCTTAACGACTGAGCCACCCACGCGCCCCGAGAAGACAGTATTTTAACTTCCTCAGTATATTTATCCCCAAGCATCAGTATCTATCTATGGAAAGTATGATTTATAGGGTCTTTTCCAACACTCTAGGCCTCAATTAATGAGAGAGGCTTTAAGTTAACTCAAGTGTTATCATTTGTACCAAAGCTGACTTTAAAACTACTCATCTCATTACTATGGCTTTACAATAGTATAGAAAGGCATTAAAAAAGGAATCTGACATACTTTTTTATTCTATACACTATGCTCATTTTACATTAAAAACACAGGAAAAACAGTCTTCTCCTGCAGGGCTGGTGTGAGCCCTGTGCCCCAGGCCAGTAACTAGATCCAGCAGCTCACAGATCAATGCTCTAGGTGCCTGATCATTCATCTTCCCAACTGCTGATTATTGACACAACCCCAAGTGCACATGGGAAATTTTTGCTTGCCCACAGCAATATTTTTTTAATGAAAACAATCCCATAGCATTTATTGTCATCTAGTAATAACATGAAGGTAATCAAAACAATGTGAACAAATGTTTTACAACTATACTCCCAAAAAAGAACATTTAAAAAAACAAACTACATGGCCTTCTCAAGAATTTCTCACTTCATTGATCATTTCTAGTTGGAGACACTTTGGAGCAGGGTAATATTATCTCCTTTTGGCATGATCCGACCCAGCTGTTTTCTTGACTTTGTTTTAGAATGAATCTCTCCTGCATTACCCAATACAAGGTTCATGTACTCATCAAAACCAATGACACAGCCCTCTATCTGCATGTTCACTTGTTCATAAAGCCACACCTCAATCCGAGATCTATTTTGCAAGTATCTGAAGATGCGATTGATGGGCTGCGCCATCACCTTCTGTGCTTTCTGGCTCTGGCCACTGTATGCCATGATGGAAGCTGACAAAGATCACATGCTATCTCAGAAAATGCCCACAGCAATCTGATTTGCCTTTAAGGACCTGCTTCTCTCCCATTTTCAATCCCCATGGTTTAGGTTGGGTTCCCCTCACTCTGGGGCTCCAAGGTACACCCATGACCTGGCCAAGCACCTCATCCCCTGGCCACAAGGAGTAGAGTAAGAGCCCAATCATTCCAGTGAGACTCCCTCCAAAGAACTGTGCACCAAAGGCTGCCGGAGGAAACAACCTGAGAGGGAAGATGCCCAGAGTCAAGGAATTCTGAGCGAAGGTGAGAAGGAGGGGAGGGGCAGAGACAGAGAGAGCTGATGGTATTGCTTGAAGCTCTGCGTCCAGCCTGCTCTGGGTCTTTTCAGGGGTGAGCCAATATACCCTCTGTTGTAGCCATAGCCAGGAAGAGTTGAGCTTCTGTCACTTACAAGGAAAGAGTCCTTAATAAGACATCTCTGTCTGGGCTCCATTCATCTCATTAGACATCTGCATTCCTGCCCACTTCTCCCCAGATGTTCCATTATGATGGGAACCACTGTGTGCTCCTGAGCCTGGCCCACCTGGCAGAACCCACAGGCCCAGCCTCAGTAGCAGGTGTATCTCCTGGCTCCTGGCACACCAGGCATCAGTTGTCCAGCAGGCCCTCACACTCCCCCCAACCCCCAGCTCCACCTGCCCTTCTTCTCATAGGCTGCTGTCCCAAGCAGAGAATCAGGCTTCGAGGCAGGGAGCTCCAGGTTAGGTCTATGGCTGGTTTCTTTTAGAGGGAATTAAGGATGATTCCATTTGTCAAGGCCCAGAGCACACAGCACAGGTCCACATCCCTCTGAATTAGCCACCTCTTAGGTTTGAGAACTGCCTTCTAACTTAAACAAAAACTCTTTCTTCAAATGACTCCAGAGTGTGGGCTTTTACCTTTTCTAGCACATTTATTTCTAAACCATGGCCATGGGATCACTGAGAGAAAACTAGTAGAGAGAGCTGAGGGGATAGAAGTCATTCACACTAGTGCTGGTGCAAACTAGACCAACAGCAGTTACCATGAGGTAACTGAGCCTCTGTATCTCCTATGAAGAGGAATCCCCATGGTTTCATTTACTTAACAGTGGGTGTCTACAGTACCTGATAGTGACATTTATCTTTTGTGTATTTTTACTATTTCCCCAACTAAGAGGACAAATCTCTGGAGGGCAGGGGCAAGGATCCATAGAAGCTAGAACAGAGACATGTGAGTGTAGCCCATAGGCAGCAAATGTTGACTCCTGAGGAGGAGAACTAACAGGATTCCACATCACATCCTCTAGTAAAGAAATCTTGCTTTTCAGTGGTTCAGTCCCAAAGACGACTCTATACAAGGGAACAGAAATCAACTTTCAGGCAACAGAACCCAATATTAACAATAAACTCCAGTTGTGACCAAATTAGGGTTCCAATTATGTACTGGTCTCAGTAAATGCTACAGGCCACAACTAGCTTTTTATTTCTGGGCACATCTGCTTGTCTTTCTAGGAAGCCAATCTATAGTTCTGTCCTTCTGAGAACCAATCCATTTCCCCTGCAAGTTTCTGGGATAAATAAATATAAAAGGTCATGGTTGAAAATTCAAAGACTCGGGTTTTGATTTTTTTTTGTAGTGCTAATGGGGCCATCTTATTTCATGAGAGCTATCACTGAGTCTTCCTTTTAACCCAAGGGTACTAACGGAGGTTTTTGGAGTCCATGGGTTGGAAGTCACTGATTTCCTTGCTTGAAGGTGAATCAGTAATAATGGATTTGTGTACATTTGTATTTCTTTATGAAGAGAATGCAGGTCATCACTGTGGTTGGCTGGAGAGATCAAAGCTTGATTGGCAGGCCTCACTTGGGCAGGTCTTGGTATAATTTCTGAGCCCTCATTTGCTGGACATGCTAGAATCCATACCCTGAGCTTTCATAAAGTAGCAAATAGGCTGCTGATACTACTACTTCAGGTTTGATTGATGGACTAGAGCCTCATAGAGGAGTTGTTATAGTTCCTTTTTTTTTTTCCCTACTGCAACACTGTATAATAAATACCATGGTGAGGTTTTATACCCTTTAAGCTTTCCTTGTTGCTTAGGCACTACAGCCAATCTGTTTCCCAAAGGTGAATATTGGCTGTAAATGAATATATAAAACTTAGATTTTATATCTAAGAAAATACATAGGAAAACATAAAACTTAAATCTCTCTGCCCATGTTTCAGATCTGTTCAACAAGCAGTCTTCCTAACTACCCATGATTATGTTAACAAAATATACAGATTTAAATATACACCTCCTTACAGAATCCCTTCCCAAGGTTCTTCATTTTTTTCCCCCATCCTAACTTCAGGAAAGAAATAGGAAGCTCACAAAATAGATGTCTTCCATAATTTACCGCTGTAACATCTAAATCACTGGGCTTTATCTCATTTTCATCTCTACTTAGGCTGGGAAATGTGCTGTCTCTGAGAATCTCTCCCCTGAGTACTGACAAGGGGAGATTAGATTGCATTTCCTGCCTTCATTTACCTTCCAACAGTGCGCAATAAAAAGGCAATAGGAAGAATGAAATGGCTTGTTTTTCCAGGGGGAAAGATATTTCTATTTCTTACAGACATTTTTAAAATACAACATCTTAGGAGAGGGAAGTAGCCCCAACTAACATTTCTATGTCTTCACAAACCACATCTGTGAGCACAATGTGGCTCCACAGGTAGCAGCAAAGAACAGCTATTCCCAGACCAAAGTCACGAACTCCCTGAAGATGGTTCTCCTCTTCACAGAGGAGCATCAGAGCTCTCAAGATGGCTTCAGAACTTGTGAAAGTCCACATCTCCCCATGGCCCACAAGGTCCTGCATAACCTGGCCCCGGCCAACAGTTCCAGACTGATCCCCCATACTTTTCTTCTTACTGAACTCTGGCTGCCCGGGCAAACTTTCTCTAAGTGCCTTCTGCTGTACTGTCCAGTGCCCAGAACTATCTGCCACATCCCTTACTTCCTTCTGCTCCCCCAAATCTGGCCAACTCCTGTTCATTCTTTGCACCTTAAATGTCACTTCTTCAGGAAAGCCTTCCCTGCCCCTCTCCTTCCTGCAAGCTTAGGCTGGGACCACTTACGATTGATTAGCTGTAGTTCTCTGTACTCCTCTGAATCCATTATTACAATTATAATGGAACATGATTTGTGTATTTTAAAAACTGTAATGGAAATTTCTCCTACTAGACCATAAACTCTCGGAGAGCAGGAACTGATGTGTCTTCTTTATCAAGGTATTAACAAGATACCATGTCTACCATAGTGTAGGATATTTCATAAATATGTGAGGAAGGGAGAGAGAAAGGAAGAGAGATCTAGTCCCAAAATTGTTGGTACGGTAGCAGAAGGAGATCTTCCAGCTACATATATACATCTGGGGCTGGTTCACCATAGAAAACATTTAACCAAATCTTTTCACCATTCCAAGATATCCAGAAAAGCCAGCGCTCGTGAGCAGATGTAGCAACTTCAGTGTGGAGGAAAGCCATGCATCATGGCATTCAACCACTTAACTTACTCAGGTACAAAAATCCCAGCTCCACCACTTACCAGCTATGTGACCCGAGCAACTTCCTCGCCCTTTCTGAGCCTCCACTGATTTATCTATAAAATGAGGCTAGGAATTCTGGCCTCTTCTAGAGTTGTCTCAAAGCCTAGAAGAAGTAATGCCTGCAAAGCACTCACGACTAAGACTTTAGTGCCATTATTATTATTACCAAGAAACATTAGAAGTCTTACCAAATTCAGAAGATATATCTCGCCTTTTTCTTGCTAAAGGAATATACCCTAACCAGGCATAGTCACGGACAACTAGTTGCTTAGACAACAAGCTGTTTTCCTGCCCAGAGATCCTAACACATAGACTAACTGCAGGATGCATAGCTTTATTCTTCAAAGGCATTTAACAACATGATTGGAAGTCCAGATACATGTATGGAACTCACAACAAGAATGATCTGAAAAATGTTCACTTATGAGCTCTCAGAACTGAGTGTGCAAATAGACAAACTAACCCATTCACACTCACTCTTTCTGGATACTTTCCTCCAACCAATAATAGCACATTCTTCCAGTTGTCTCTCCAAAACAAAGTTAAGACTCAGGCCCTTTGGTAAGACTGGTGTTAAAGGAATGTCAGAATCAACCACGAATCAGTGGTTTGGGTACCAGTCATGTACCCGGCACTGGTGCACGGATGTGGCCTCGCTAACCAGTGGAGCGGGGGGTTTCCAGAAACTATGGCCCGGCAGAAATCAGATGTCTGCTACCCATGCTCTTCCACTGACTAGCTATGGACAGAACTTGGACTGCATACAAACTGGCCTCTCTAATCATTTACCATATATAAAATGCACTGATAATTCCTCTCTGTAAAAACCGCTGTGAGGTTTTGAGTGAGATAATACACATAATCTATAACAACTATTTGAGATACCATGTAAACAATGCCCAGCAAATAAATCTACTTCATTTCATAGCCTTTCTCTAATATCATGCCTTTCACAGGATAAGAAAGCCTTAATGAGAGAAGCCGAGGAGGCTGTAAAATATAGATAATACATAATTATAAGGGTCTCATAACTTACAAAGCATTCCCTTTTTTTTTTTAAAGATTTTATTTATTTATTTGAGAGAGAATGAGATAGAGAGAGAGAGAGCATGGGGGGGGAGGGTCAGAGGGAGAAGCAGACTCCCTGCTGAGCAAGGAGCCCAATGCAGGACTCGATCCTGGGACTTGAGGATCATGACCTGAGCCGAAGGCAGTCGCTTAACCAACTGAGCCACCCAGGCGCCCTTACAAAGCATTCCTAATAACAATATCAATAACAGAAATAGTGGTGATGATCTAGCAGGGTTACCTGATGAGGAAGAATTTTTTTTAAAGTAAGACGGATGTTCAAAAGTTGCTAGCAATATCTTTATCTAGCAATCAAAGAGAG